GAAAACCTCTGGCAATGCCACCCCTCCAACAGGGGCAGTTGGGAGCAATTTAGGAAGCTGGAATTCTTTCCAGGTTGGAATATCACTGCATTAAACCCAGTGGGTTTCTGTTGCAGTCACAGGATTAGGGCAGGTTTATACCTGGCCATAAATAAATGCTCCACAAAGGGATTTTCCTCCAGCTGGGGATTTGGGGTAACTCCGTTTTGGGGCAGATGTCCAGGTTTCCCACATGGAGAATCCTCCATCCCACGATCCACGTGCTCACAGAGGGGGTTAGTGGTGGCAGGGAACGGGAATGTTATCCAGGAGGTGAGTCCCAAGGAGAAGGGAGAGGTGCAGAGCATCCCCAGCATCCCCTGGGAACCCCCTGCTTCCCAAAATCCTTCACCTGAGGCTGCTCAGACACAGAATCACGGAATGGTTTGGGTTGGAAGGGACCTTAGTGATCAATCCTTTGGGAAATCCTTATGGGATGAAGGGAAAACAGGGAAAGAGCTCCTGCCTGTCCCTCCTCCCTCTCCAGGTTCAGCTTTGGAAGCCCCAAATGACACTTGGCTTCCACCCTGCACCACCTCTAGCTGTTCTCAAGTCCTTCTCACTCCCAGCTGCTCTCCTGGGGGTTTTCCAGAGGCTCTCCTGGCTCCCAGTGATTCCAGGAGGATCAAATGTTCCACCAGATGGACAGAGGTGAGCAGGGAGTGCCAGGGACGAGGCAGGAGCAGGGAGGGATCAGGGAACAAGCAATTCCCAGGCACAGCTCTCATCCAGAAGAACACCTGCTGGCATCCGGGATGGCTTGGACAAGGACAAACCAGAGGGAATTCGGGTGGGAGGGAGCTCTGGAGAGCAGCTGATCCACCCCTGGCTCTGATCCAGGGCTGGAAGAGCGATGGGTGAAAGCCAACACTGCCCAGCCCAGTCCGAGCCGGGGCTGGAAGCGTCTCCCACTTGGAATGGGAGTTCCAAGAAGGGCTCAAATCCCAGAGTTTGGAGGGGATTTGGCCCCAAAAGGCCATTCCCAAGCAGAGATGAAGCAGGAGGATGGTCCCAGCCTGGTCCTCCAGGAGCACCACGAGGATTCTCCCCAAGGGGCTGGAGACTCGGGCTGGCACCAAACTTTGGGATGGGTGGGATGGGGGTCCCACAGGGCAGGAGGGCCAGGCCAGGCCCTCCTGGAGGAGCTGCTCTCCCCTAGAGTCTCTGCTGGGATTTTGCTTGGATTTCTGGGAAAAGGAGGGGGATGGAGGAGAGCAAAATACCCATTGGAGGAGCCCCTCGGAGAACAAGGCCGGGAGGCAGAGCTGTGGAATTCCCCATCCAGAAATGGGAAGGAGGGGAGGAGAAAGAGCAGAGAGATGATTATGGTCACACCAACCCATCAGAGCACAGGGCTGAGCCCTGTTTTTCCCTCAGGAAAGGCAGCCTGGAAAATGTGCTCATCCCATCCCATCCGGCCTCGCTTGGGAACGTGGCCAGGCCTCACGTCCTTCCCTAGCTCATCTCCCACATTTCGGGATCACCTGGCTCCAAGGGCCACCCCAACACTGCAAGAGAGGTGCCCCTTGTTCTGCTCTCTGCCTGGAGCTCTCCAGGAACAACCTCACCCCATGGTGATCTGCTCCAAAGGAACCACAGGGTCTGGGGAGACACTTGGACAGCCTGGGATCCTGGTCTTGGAAGCACAGAATCATGGAACAGTTTGGGTTGGAAGGGACCTCGAAGGTCATCCAGTCCAAACCTCCTGGAATGGGCAGGGACACCTCCCACCATCCCAGGTTGCTCCAAGCCCTGTCCAACCTATCCCTGAATTATTCCAGGGATGGGGCAGCCGCCTCCTCTCTGATGAGAACATTTCCTTCAGAACCACTGGCACAGTCCGGGAAATCCTCAATTCACGGCCAATTCCCCATGGAAAGAGGGCAACTGGGATTTCAGCTGAGGTCCAGCCACGGGGCAGCCCAGCATTCCAGCTCTTCCATGCGGGGTTTGGGAAGGGGGGAGCTCCTGGTGCACTCACATCCCAGGGAGCCTGAATGCATCCCAGCATGTTCCCCCATCCCATTTGACTTTCCCTGCCATGGGAACCCCCCGTGGGTCAAGCCCAGAGTCCATCCACTCTGTCCTGCTGGTGATCACTCCTGTCCCCAAAATCCAGATGCTCCTGGAAAAAGGGGCTCCCCCAGGGAGGCAAATCTGAACCACCCCAAAATGGAAAGCAACTCATCCTTAAAGACTCACCTCGTCCAGGCTGGAGGACAAATCACTCTGGAAAAGAGGAGGAGAGGACAGAATTAGAGGAATTCTCATCCACCAGCCCATCCCAAGGCTTGGAATTGTAGCTGAAGCTGAATGGAATCCTGGAATGCTTTGGGCAGGGAGGGACCTGAAAGATCATCCAGTTCCACTCAGGGACACCTTCCACTCTCCCAGGTAGCTCCAAGGGCCACCCAGTCTGGCCTTGGACATTCCCAGGGATCCAGGGGCAGCCACAGCTTCTCTGGGAATTCCATCCCAGCCCCTCCCCACCCTCACAGCCAACAATTTCTCCCCAGTACCCCCCTCCAATCTCCCTTTTTCCAGTGGGAAGCCATTCCCTGTGTGCTGTCCCTCCATGCCTTGTCCCCAGTCCCTCTCCAGCTCTCCTGGAGCCCCTTTAGGCCCTGCCAGGGGCTCTCAGCTCTCCCTGGAGCCTTCTCTTCTCCAGGGGAACCCCCCCAGCTCTCCCAGCCTGGCTCCAGAGCAGAGGGACTCCAGCCCTGGAGCAGCTCCAGGGCCTCCTCTGGACCCTGGAATGGGACACATTCCCCCCCTCTAACAGGTCATAAATGAGCTTTCCCACTTTTCCCAGCTCTTTTTACCAGCTCAAGGACACTGGAATCTCTGCAAGGGGACTCCTCCATCCTAAAATAACCCCTTAGGGCAGGATGGACAAATTGCCCGTGGAAGCTCAAAGAGGGTTCCTGCAAAGCTCCAGGGGAGCAGGG